TCCTACGCATCTTCCACATCCCAAAGGCTGCCCTCCAGAAAACTTACATAGACTCTGACAATTTATGGGCCCCTGGAAGACCGTTTCCTCTATATATACAATTGATGTTCAGGGATCTCTACCGGCACCTTCTCAATAATTAGTTCAGTGACTTCATCCGCCTACTGTGACTTCCTCTGCCTCACCCGCCTCACCTTTACCAAAAACAACCGGATCGATGATGCCGATGCCGATGCCTCTGGATTGGAACATCCGTCGTCCCCGGCGGCAGAAACTGCGACGCCGCCAGCGTCCGCAGCAACACGGCGGCGCCCAGCAAACCGCGGGGCGCCCAGTGCGCCATGGGAGAATCGACGGTGACCCGGTGGGACGGTGGGCCGCGCTGGCCCCCAAAAACTGAGGACAGAGTCGGCAGATTCCGCCAAGTGGAAGTGGGGTAAAGCAAATCAGGTGTGCAAAATTCAAAACGCAGCAAACCAGGACCTTGCATTTTGGATTGATGTTTGGTTGCTTTGGGCCCAACATGTATACTTAGATCCTCCTTTGGGCGGAAAAAAGTGCCGGACCTCAATCCGGCAAAATTTTCCGCCGGATTCCGAAAAAACGCCGGAGACCTGAAAAAACATCCGGATCCAAGATGATGAACAACAGAGCTGATCATACACAAGCAAACCGCCTTTGCGCCACGAGTAGTTTTTCTGGAGCACACTCACTCCACAACCCAACACTGGAGCCTTCCCGTTCCCATTGCCCTCGCCCATCTTCCGAATGGCCTAAGAGCAGAACCATCACAAAATATAAGCAAACTTGTGCCCAAGCAAAGACTTCCAAGAAGAAACCAAGGAGTATGTCAGAGTATGTGGCAAGGAGCCCCTCTTTCTCTGCAACCGTGTCTCTAGAGTGCTTTAAAGAAATGGGTTGCTCTCCATGACTCTTATGCTTTTTAATGATTCTTTAAAGCTTGCCTCAGGACGGCCCCCCCCAATAAAATACTCATGGTTCCTGTCAAAACTCTGATTTTCAAAATTCAAAACCTTCAGAAGACAGAGTCCCAAAAAATAATGCCGGAGTTACGGGAAATTACACCGGAGTTACGACGCGCCATTTTTTAGCAGTTCTTTGCAAAACATTGAGATTCTGAACAACACATGTTCCACAGCCCAAAACTTGTCCGGCAGGCTCTGCAAACCTGCGCAGCTAGAACTATATTCCGGCGCCCCGACATGCTGAAACAGTGGGAGTACATTTTCGCCTATGTCTTTCAGCTTAGGTACACCCACTTGGGTCTTTCAACACATGCATCGCACTGTACCGATTTCATCCGATTTCATTGCGAAGATCACCTAAGCGGATCCGATTGATCCAGTGTGAGCCATGCTGAAACCGGTGGAATGAGAAAACAGCGGAACAGGCAAACGAGCACACTTTGCAAGCAAAATCATTGCATCAGTAGTGGGTTTACCTTCAAAGAAATGCGGACCACACAGAACGCAAAGCCTTGAGAATCCACATAAAGTGACTTGGAACAATTGCCAGACCAAATCCAGAAAACACCGGAGTTGGAAGTCCGGCGCCGGACCTAGTAAAGTGCCGGACTGTCTAGGTATATATAGGTAGAAAACAACGGAAAGCACTGGCTTGGGTGGGTCAGCTGTGGGTGATTCATCTGGGCATCAGGGGTGCGTGGGGGGAAAATCCTTTGGACTTAAAGGTTTTCCTGCTGAAACCATGGTTCCAAAATTGTTCAGGTATGTTCAAGTCCCTGTAGCATGAAACATCTATATGAATATAACATAGATTAAAATAGTGTTCAATAAAGTACATGTATTTCAATGTATTTCATATGGTCTGGCTCACACGCAAATACTGACAGAATCTACTATCTACCTGGAAACCAGGAAACATCTCCAAACCTCGTTTGTCACCTAGGTGTCACTTTCCAGTGGTTACTGAACAATCTTCACCAAGTCCACTTGTTCTACAGGGTTACAATCTCTGCTGATCTGTTGGTTGGGACACCTGATGTCACAAACTGTTACTAGTAGCGATACGGACGTAGCTTCTGGCCTCCAAGCTATACTTGCTTCTGGCCTCCACCGAGCAGCTCGTGTCCTAATACTGTCCAGTAGCCCACCTTGTTACACGGACATCATCCCACCTGGAAAAGTGGCCAAAGGCGAAGTAGGAGGGATTGAAGATCACTCGATCCTGGCATCCAATTTCACTTCGAGTGAGGACCCCCGACTTGGAATATAGCTGAATGAAGCGATCCTTCGTGAAACAATTACATGACCTGGGAGGAGAAACACAACAAGTGCAAAGGCCGTGCACAACAAAGTAAACAAACAACACCAAATGAAAACATTGAGATACATTAAGAACATGTCATGTTCTTTTGGTTGCTGTATCATTTGTGTCTTGCTTAATCAGTTGTCTGCGAGGGAATTCTCCCATCAACTTTGTCAGGCTTTAAACTCTCAAGACTTGGTGGTACAGTAGGTCACTTGTATTGAAATGATGTTTGGTCTTCTGTCCTCTATAATCTATATAATATATATATATATATAGACATATGAGGGTCATGAGGGACCACTTTGGTCGCCTAAACACATGTACTTTCCCTTTGGCTTTGGTTCAAGCACGATCTCACTATCTACTTTGAAGTCGTCGGTTGATGCTGTCATCAAAACTACATAAATATGGACATCTACAAACACCTCGAACCTGGCGTCACTTTGCTTTCCCACCCTTTTCCTGAACGAGCTGGGTTCGACCTTTAATTCATAGGTCAAGCTAGTCTAACCATAAACGATCCATTCTCTAAATTTGGGACTCCAAAAGAAGTCCACTTCGCAGCGGCTTCCGGGTCCAGATTTTTCTTGATCGGATCTGCATGGGAGATGGTCTGCCTTCTCCAGGTCGGCCAGCACCGGTGCCGAGCAATGGTTGCCCACGTGGTTGGGACCACCCTCCAGGGTGAGCAAGAAATTCCAATCCTCGACGGGCGGTGGTTTCGCTGAGGCGGCGAAACAGATTCAACCTCCTTTTCCAGCGTATCAAACTCCTTTTCCAGCGTATCGAAGGTGGGAATCGGGAAGACCCATTTTTTGAGGGCTTTGCCGAGATGGAATGCAAAGGATCGTTTTGTTATGTCTGTGTTCAACCAAACAGAGGTGCAACATGTGATTTGGATGCATCTGAATGTGACCAGGGAGGGACCGACAAAGAACACCCTGGATAAGCAGCTCAAGTCGACCATTTGTCTCTCGCCCCTCAATCCCAACAGCTTGAAGGAGCTTGGTGGAACTTGCAAAATAAAACCAACCACTCCGACCACTCCCCTCAACGTCATGTGACGATCACGGTTCGTTCCTGCCATGCCCAAATGCTTTGGGCGGAGTTCGCTTGGCCAAGGTGCAACCCAAGCTTCGCACCAGTTGTTGAAGTCCTTTATAATGCCTTGGAGACCGGGTCAATGATTATGATGTGGCAGGAAAGTATACTCATAAAGCCCACTGGTGGTATAGCAATGTAGAGCAAGTCCTGCACGACTGGACTGGTGCAAACAAATTATAAATAACATTAAATAACTATAATAATTTGTGAAATGAAACCTCCACGATGACTTGACCAAATGTTTTTGTTTGCCTCTTCTTGGTGGGCAGCATGAAAAAAACCAAAGGAACGTACCAACGCAGTGGTGCTGAACCCGCTGCTTCGTCCCAGGTGCTTTCCGCATAGCGTTCGGCCAAGGACCAGTCACCCAAGTGAGCCCCACACTCTTGACCTCGGTGCGTGCTGCGCGTTTCGACCTCGTGCGTAGTCGCGCAGGGTTCTGGTGCACAGGGGGCCCCTCCAATGGAAGTGGAAGTGGCATGGTTCTAAATGGAATGGCCCCCTGGAAAGACCATGAAATCGGTCAAACAGGGGGTGAACTCTACTTCCATACTTTGCTGCAGGGAGGGTCCTTGATCTGAGCGCAATGGAGAGACGGTGCCATCAGATCGCCATCAGCTCAAACAGCTGAACGGATCGGCCGTCGCTGGATGGATGGTGTCACACCTGGTATCGGTCACTGGATGGATCGGCCCCGAGTTGTTCGATGTTTTTTGCTATACTACCAGCGGGCAATCCAGGTTGGAGATGCATGTCTCTCTACATAATCATCCACCTTTGCTGTCACAAAGCATCGAACCAAACCAATATACAGTGGTTGATCTGAATTCCTTCGGACCAAAATACACAATCTTCTTGAGCATCTTCACTTTTGTGAATCTTCCGCGAACTCCAATCTTCACTTTCGCGGGGGAGAGGAGAAAAACAAAACTACAGAATTATGGAATCTGTTTCCACATATCTATCTTTCGCAAATCTTTCGCGAGTGACGAGGTCTCCAAGTGACAGGTCTCTGTGACGAGGAGGTGCTTCTCCGGACGCAGTTCGTGCACCTTCCGGACGTTCTCGAAGCAGGCCTTCCGGTCGGATGGGGGACGGTCTTGCTCCTTGGAGAGGGGGAAGGGGATGGGGTGGGGTGGGGCAAGTGGGGAGATGATTGGAGAAGTCTACATCTTTAGTCAATAGATTCTCTACCATAGGCGTGCTGTTTCTTGGGATTCTGCAGGTTCCATGGCCTTGAGCTTGAGCTTTTGTTGCATCCATGTTTCTCCATGCCACTTGGCCCGAATCCAGGGGCCCCTTTCGAGCACTGACTCGACCACGGCGGTCGGCGGAAAATCGTAGCCATTGCGGCTGTCCGGACTTCGTTCGTACTTTGTGTTTGAGCCCCTCGATACGCTCCACTTGTGCTCCACCCGCTACATGGTAGCGGAGCACGTTGCTCCAGCGACCTCGCAGCTTTTGCCACTACATCCTGAACAAGTTCAAGAAGGTCTTCGCTGAGACTGGTTGTGTGGCTAGCTGCTGCCCCTTTTTGCATTTCTCCTGACCTTGCGCGGCAAGGCCCTTTTTGCTGAAGATTTTCCCCCTGGAGTTTGGTCAAGATGGCCGACAAGGATGCTTTCTCTGTCCCTTCCTGGGACGGCTCTGCCAAAAGCTGGCGCCGCTACACGCGGGAGGTTTCATGGTACTTCAGGGCTACGCCCATCTCCAAGCGGCGATATGTCGCTACCAAGTTGCTGAGTCGCCTGACGGGACCAGCAAGGTTGCTTGCGATGTCATGGAGCGACATGGCCCTGGACGAGTATGACGGCACGAAGGTTCTCCTGCAGAGGCTAGCTGCCTCCCCGCTTGTGAGGAGATCGATTCCAAATGCCTCGGCCATTTGTGGTCAATACTTTGGCTTCCAACGAAAGCCTCATGAGGCGATGACGTCCTTCCTCGTCCGAGAGGCTCTTGGTTACAGCGAGTTCGTTGAGGCCTTGGTGAGATTGGCTGAGGAGAAGAGAGGTGTGAAGCAGGAGGATAAGGACTTTGGTTTGCCTCCGGAAGAGCCTGACTATGAGGACGGCTATGACTATAATCAGGACTATGACTGGTCCTCATGGCATGCTTGGGGTGAGTGGCCGCTCGACGATGAGAACGTTGAACCGCCTGAGGAGGGTGACTTCGACCCCAATGCACCGACGGCTCAACCAACATCCCTGCCGAGCGCTTCGACCAGAGCTGCTGCTGAAAGTGGTTCACCTCAACATGGTGGATATCATCGAGTCCCACAGGACATTTCGCCCAGCCGACGTTCAGCTGGAGTGCAACCCTCTCAATCTGGCCTCGCTGATGACCTGTCAGATCTGAGCTTCGCTGACTCCTTCGTGCTTGGAGTCCTTCGTGGGTTTCGGCTTCTCCAATCGGCCGGACTGTCAGCTGAAGAGCGTCGTGACATCCTTTCAGCAACTCATGGCTCCTTGGACTTTGAGGAGGTGAGCCGTGCCTTGCAGACTCTTTGGGACGAGCAGTTCATTGGTGCTCGAGCTCAGGTGTCGCACGTCTCCAACTGGCACGAGATGGCCGTGGTGGAAGATCCTGAACCTCATCACGATGACTGGTCGTGGGATGCCTTTCAAGCTGAATGGCAAGGTGATGATTGGCCCTCATGGGATTGGTCTGAGGCCAACTATGCCCACGAGACTGTGGATGACAAGGTCGACCAGGCCGAGGACGACGATGAGATCAAGGAGGCCCAGAAAGCCGAGAAGATGGCCGAATCTCTGGCCTTGGAAGCTCAACGATCCTGGGCAGATGCCCAGAAGGCCACGGCGGCCCTTCGACGTGACCGCGGCTTTGGACATGCTGCTCCCACATCGGGAAAGGGCCGTGGCCCCTGTTTCATTTGCAATGGACCTCATTTGTCTCGCGAATGCCCTGACCGTCGACATCCTGGTCCTTTCAAGGTAAAAGGAAAGTTCAAACACCACTACATGACGGAGTATGACCCGTACATGATGGAGGACTTCATGATGGGCAAGAAGGGTGGCAAGAAAGGAAAACAATCTCATTGGATGGAAGCCCAAGCCTGGCACAAAGGCAAGGGCAGTTCGACACGCTTCAAAGGCAAAGGCCCGAACCCTCGACCACCTGTCAATGCCTACAACTCTGAAGTCTTCTTTGGTGGCCTTGAGATGCAGGCCCAAGAGGCCGGAGCGCCACAGCCTGCGCCTTCTTTGCCGGCAACACATGGTTTGCTGGATTGCGGGGCGACGGCATCTGCCGGTCCCCAATTGGCCGTAGAGAACTTGGTTTCTGCAATCCTTGCCAAGGACAGCAAGGCAGTGATTCAAGTCCGCAAGGATGATAGGCCGCACTTTCGATTCGGGAACGGCAAGTGGGGAAGGGCTTTGTATCGTGTCTCGATGACATCGTCCGTTTCGGGTAGACCACATCATTTTCAACTATATGCACTACCAAATCCGTCGGACATGCACGACCCATCGTTCAAGCCCTCATCCATGGTGCCGGTGTTGATCGGAATGGACCATTTGTCGGGAACACGTCCTTCGATGGTCATCGATTTCGCCACTGGACTTGCCTTGGACTCTCATGAACTACAACCTGAGATCTATCAACTGGAGGTGAACCCCAAAGGACACTATGTGATGGACATTGTCTATTTCCTCACACGGGGACATGAATGCCATGAAGGACACCCCCAGGTCTATGTGGTTGAAGAGCATGCGGTTTTTGAGAATCACTTCATTCAGTTCATGCCCTTGGAGTTCATGACCACTTCAATGGACACCAGACCTCGGAACCATGATCGAATCGAACAATCTCGTCGACATTTGTTGACACTCCATGGACACATCCATCATCAATGTTCGGCGCTGCAGCCCACGACTCAAATGAGCCGGACTGACTTGGTCCAGCCTTTCAATTCGACGTCCCCTGATCGCTCTTGCCATGTCCCGCAACCGAGCTGCTCTCACAGAGAAGGAGGGGAACCTGATTTGGGACATCCGCGGCGGCACAGCCGATCTCCGGGAGCGCCTGACGGGCAGCCCGGACAAGCAGGAGCCTCGACCTTTCGACGAGGGCCGTGCAGTGGGACCGGACAATCGCGATCCGAGGTGGAGTCCGGGTCAATGGCCATGCTACGGGGAGCACATCGAGGACACCTGGAAGGCCAATCCTCATGCCAAGTACCTGCACTGCGCCACGTGCAACCTGAGGCTGCGCTACGTTCCTCGACACGGATCCCATGGGCAGAGCTCCAAGGTGCAGAACCCCACGATGATCCTCCGGATGCTGACGACCCTGAAGGAAAGGATGAACTCGGCACGACCATCTGCCGCAATTTGCCTGGCCATGGAGAAGGCTATCGATGCCGAGGAGACCCTGTCCACCCTGATCGGACGTCAGATGATTGCCCTGGACAAGGAAAAGGAGCGCGAGAAAGACATCAAGGGCTACAAGACTGCTCCACCGTCCAAGGGTGCATCCAAAAGCAAGGCCGCTCCGTCAAGTTTGACCTCGAGCTGGGACGTGGTACCGACCACACCACCGAGCCCGCACAAGGATCCTCGAAAGAAGACATTCCGGGAGCTCGACCTGGAGGACCTGCTGAAGGAGGAGGAGATGCAGCAACTCATGAAGCTGCTGGAGGAGCGCCGAATGGAGTGCGACCAGGAGGGCACACTCACCGACCTTCCAAAGGCCTATGGGAGCGAGGCATGACCACATCCTCGAATACCACATCGCCCCTGCCGAGATCTATGGCTGCGCGGCTGCTCCTCATGGCTACAACATTGATGACCGCTATGGCATCCACAACTATGAACTTCCTGATGGATGGAAGGGACGGCGTTTGGGAGGTGGCCTGTGCACCTCACTCTTGGCTCAGTGAGGCCTGCAGCCAACACGGACTGAATCCCAGAAGGATCAACCTCTCCACTGGCTATGACATCTACCAGAGATCCACCTGGGACCATTTGAAAGTCCTTCGTCGCCAACACCGACCCAGGCGACTTTGGTTCAGCCTCCCATGCACGAAATGGTGTCGGTGGTCACATCTCAACTACCGGACCGAAGAAGGTCGTGCCCAACTGGAAAAGTACCGCCGGCGTGAGAGAAGGATGCTATGGATGGCGGCTCACTTCATCGAGGAGATCCTCAACGAGGATGAGGAGGTGGACATCTACTTTGAATGGCCCTGGCCCTGTGAAGGCTGGAACCAACACCCCATTGAGTACATCCACAAGATCCTGGCCAATCACGGACGTGAATGGCTCCCATGCCGGATTGACGGCTGCAACTATGGGCTCCGAGCTTCTGATGAATCCGGTGGCTTCCTCAAGAAGCAGTGGCGTGTCATGACCACCAACGAGCAGTTCCACAGCAAGTTCAAATGTAAGGTATGTCCTGGAGGCCACAGCCATACTTGGATTCAAGGCATTGAAACTGCCAAGAGCTCCTACTACCCATGGAGACTATGCAAATCCATCGCTTTGGCCTGGCGACAGGAGTATGTGTCTGACCGGAACCTCAAGCTCGTCTTTGCCCAGGAAGATCAGCCGGAGATGATCACACTTGAAGAAGAGCTTCACCATTTGGAGGAGCTACCTCATGTACTACCTGCCTTACAAGAGGAACCATCCTCGAGCTCTTCGTCACTGAGTCCTTCGAAAGAGGAGCTTCAAAAGTGGCAAGCACGGCTGTCACACTTCCACAAGGCAGCTGGACATCCCACAGCTCGAAACCTGGCCAGACTGGTCCGTGATGCAGGCTGTCCTGCCTGGAAAGTTCAAACCGCTCTGGAACACCAGTGCGAGACCTGCAAGTCTCTCAAGCTGGGCGGAACTTCATCAGGACAGATTCCACCTGCTGCAACTCATCCACTACCTGGTGCCTGGGAATGCATTGGCCTTGACACCGCTGAATGGCTCGTTCCAGGACAACAGAAGAAAGCACGCTTCATCCTCATCATTGACCTCGCTACCAAGCTCCGTGCGGTTAAGCTCATCAAGGAGTACCCTGAACTGGCAATGCAGCCGGAATCCTCCGAAGAGATCATTGAAGGTCTTGTACATGGCTGGCTGGCGCACTTTCCAAAACCCAAGCTCATCGTGGCGGACAACGCCAAAAGCTTTGTCAGCGCCCGCTTCCACGAGTTCTGTGAGGCAGAGAACATTCAGCTGCACTTCCCACCAGAGAAGGAACCCTGGAGTCATGGCATTGTGGAGGCTGCCATTGCTAACATCAAACATGTTGCAAGTGCCATACAACTTGAAGCCTTGGACAACACACCAGCTCTTTCTCTCACCTTGGCTGCCTCCGCCTTGAATGGAACAGAGTTCACTGCTGGATACTCTGCACACCAATGGGCTTTTGGCGCTCGCTATGCCATCTCCGACGAAGACATTCGGGTATGGAATGCCATTGACCCCAAGGAGGACTTTCTGCGAATCTCCAAGGCACGAGCCGAAGCTGAAGAGATCGCGAGACGATCGCGTGCGAAAAGGGTGATGAGCAAACTGACCAACACCACGGTCAAACAACCTCTGAGGACCTACAGTCCCACCGACCTCGTGATGATCTGGCGCAAAGTCCAAGCTGGCGAACAGCATCAAGGCTCTCGAGGAGGTCACAAGAAATCAGGTCGACCACGATGGGTAGGCCCTGGAAGAGTGGTTTTCGCAGAGAGCATACCTCACCAAGAGGTGACCGATCAACGACAACACATACTATGGGTTCTTGTTGGCCGCCGACTATGGCGATGCTCGGTCCACTGTGCACTCTGTCAGACCTGTCAATGAGGCCGAGCGACTACAACATGAACTTCATGGAGGTGAAGATCCCACTCTCTGGAAGACGCTCGAAGATCTGATTCCCCGCAGGGAATATCAAGACATCACCAATGAGGAGCCCACTGATCGTGATCGTGAACTACCAGACTTGCCGCCAGAGCCGAATGCCACGACATTGGCACCTATTCGACGGGCTGTTGGAAAGTCAACTCTCCAACCATCGGACTACAAGGTGGTCAAGACGCACCTCAAGCCCGACTACAAGAGCACACATCGATCAAGTCCAATTGGACAAGTGCGAGAGGCACCAAAGCCTCAGCAGTACCTTCCACAGCCTGAGATCCCTATGGCGGACTACACGCCCACAGAACCACCTGATCCTGGTGAACTTCAGGAACGAATGGATGACGTCGTTGACAAGTCAGAAGCCGTGAACGACTATGACAACCCCGACCTCGAAGCTCCAGAAGCCAAGAAGGCCAAGCTGGACCATCGAACAGAATATGACCTCAAGTGGCTTGAACAGCTCCATGCAGAAGCTCAACAAGAAGTCACTCATGAAGATCTGTTCACCTTCCTTCAATCCTATGAAGGTGACTGTCTGCACATCGAGCTGGACCTGAACTTCAAGAACAGGCGAGATCGCCGCAACTTTCAGCTGGACCCTGTCCTGTACCTGACCAAGAAGCTGAACTCTGCCGAGGTGTCGCTCAAAGCCCTGGGACCCGATGACCTCATCCTCTTCACCAGAGCTAAGGCAAAGGAAGTCAACTCCTTCCTGAAGAATGGCGCTGTTCGGCGCTGTTTGAGCGATGAGGAGGTGAAGAAGGCCTTCGGCAGTGGGAGAATTCTCAAGGCCAGATGGGTCTTGACTTGGAAACCCATTCCACCAGACGAGGTGGAGGAGAGCATCCGTGATCGTGAAACCAACCCGGAAACGGTGGTGGATGCTACCATCAGCCGAAAAGCCAAGGCTCGCATCGTCCTCTTAGGTTACCAACACCCATCATTGTTGGAGAGAAACTTCAAAACCAGTGCCCCGGTGATCTCAACGCTTGGACGCCACATGATCTACCTGGCCTCCGTGGTGCACCAATGGCGCCTCACTGGCCTAGATTTGGCCACAGCATTTTTGCAAACTATGCCCACTGAAGCCGATGATCAGCTCTACACCACGGGAGTGACTGAGCTCCGTCAGGCCTTGGGAGTGCCTGAACACTCCTGCCTCCGGATTCTGCGCAACATCTACGGGAGCACCACCGCTCCTAGGGGATTGTGGCTGAGCCTGAATGAAAAGCTCACCTCACTGGGCGGTCGCGCCATTCGAGGCGAGCGATGCTTGTGGGCCTGGTACAGCAAGCACGAGATGGATCCTGTCACTGGCAATCCACGCTTGCTCGGTCTCATGGGAGGACACGTCGACGACTTCCACCAGATCGGCGATGAGAACTCTCCCGAGTGGCAAGAAGTGGTGCAGCTCATCGACACCTCCTACAACTGGGGAAGCAAGAAACGTGGTTCTTACCGCCACGCCGGGTCCGATGTACACACCATTGAGGAGAAGGATGGTGGCTTCCGCATCCAAGTGGATCAGAGCTTCTACGTCGAGGGCTTGGCTGACATCAGCATCGACCCTCAGCGCCTTCGAGAACAAGGTCCCTTGGCGCCTCATGAGGTCAACGCATGCAGGACAGCACTTGGAGCCCTCCAATGGCTCGCTGTCCAGAGCCAACCACTCATCACTGCCCGCTGCAACCTTTTGCTCTCTGAAATCACCACCGCTGGAACCTTGGAGAGTGCTCGCGAGATCCAGGCGATCATCAATGAGTGCCGTGCCCAAGCCACCTGTCTGGAGTTCAGTCGTTTTGATGACTGTGAGTCTTGGGACCAAGTCGTTTTTGTGGGAATGGGTGATCAAGCCCACTCGAATAGAGAGAAAGGGGGAAGCACTGGTGGGATGGTGATCCTGGCATCTTCTCCCAAATGCCTGGATGGAGCGGTGAGCAAGATGTCGCTGCTAGCTTGGCGCACCTGGAAGCTGAAGCGCCGTGCGGTGGGATCAAACGACGCAGAAGTGCAGTCGATTCTCGAGACCGAGGATGTCCTGTTCCGCTCGAGGGTGCTTTGGGCAGAGCTCCATGGCGCTGGGAAGCACGTGGCTTCCACACGTGGTTTTGACATGGTGGATGCCATGGAGGCGGTGGCTCGCTTAGTGAGAGGCATTTTGTGTACAGACTCAAGAGGAGGATTTGACGCCATTGAAGTCAGTGAGTCTCCACTTTTAGGTTTGACAAACCTCCGAGCGGCCCTTCAAGCATTTCAATTGCGCGACAATTTGCGTCGCACGGGCTGCACGTTGAGGTGGGTTGCGTCGGATTACGACTTAGCCGACGGGCTCACAAAGAAACGCCCCGAGGCGCGCATCGGCTTAGAGAGATTTTTGAAGTCATGGCTTTGGGACATTGCATTCGATGCATCGTTCACGGCTGCCAAGAAGAACAAGCGACAAGGTCGCACAGCTGTGAAGAAGATCGATGACTTTGAAAGCTCAGGCCAAAATGAGTCAAAGACTCAAAAACCTTTTTTGCCGGTGCAGGTTCCATGGCCTTGAGCTTGAGCTTTTGTTGCATCCATGTTTTTCCATGCCACTTGGCCCGAATCCAGGGGCCCCTTTCGAGCACTGACTCGACCACGGCGGTCGGCGGAAAATCGTAGCCATTGCGGCTGTCCGGACTTCGTTCGTACTTTGTGTTTGAGCCCCTCGATACGCTCCACTTGTGCTCCACCCGCTACAGATTCCTAATTCCGTTGCACTTGAGACTTGGATGCACCGTCCATTGTCGCAGGTAATGCTATGTACTCCCCATCATTGTCTGGAGTGCAAATCAAAAAAAACACATGATGGTTCCCCTTGCTTAAGATGAGTGCATGCACTTATTGTCTCTGACTTGCAGAGCAATCCAGTGCATCGCATGCTTGCGATCAGCAAGACTCAAGGTACTGCTCTTGAGAACTTCAACAAAGGCAACACTCTTTATATGGAATGAATCAATTCTATATTCCATGGCCATTGGTTCTCAAAAAGGAAATGACATCTTGCAACACATTGACTTGGGCCCGACCGAACAAAATCGTAATCGAAAGCGGATCCAGTGACGCTTTCGGAGGAAACAAGGACTTGGTCCCAAGCAATAAAACACTAGGGAGCGTGCAGCAAACTGGCAAACATATCCAGCTCATTCACTCGTCGTGTTCACAACTCGTCGAACGTTCGTTCGCCTGTCCGGCCGCATCTGCCCACCACTCATAACGGGGGTCACCATACCTGCAGCGATAGCATTAGAAAAAAGAAAGCAGCGGAGAGAAACCAGAAAGGACAACTGCAGTAAGAACCAGGAAGAACCCCTATAGCTTGCAGCTATGTGGAGAACCAGAAAGGAACAGCTCTAACAGTTAAAATCCGACCATGACAATGTGACCTAAATGAAGAAATTCTATGTGGGCAATTGTGGACATGTTGGTCTCAACGGTATCATCGGCTGTTGCGCTATCACGCAAACCGTTTCTGAAAAAAAGGCTTCAAAGGCATGAGGACCATCGCTTCTGCGTGTCCGAACGATATACCCTGCACATCCCAAGTCGACTGAGCTACAATTCTCAGTTGGGCACCCACTGGATCGTCCAGGTACTTTGAAGGTTTGTCTCAAAAAGGCTTACAGTAATTAAAAGGGCCAACACAAGGCGACTCCAGGGTTCACCCGTGGTCGCCGAGTTCATGCTTGAACACGCTGAGGCACGTTTTCAAGACAAGCACATGAAACGGCATACTTACAAGAAGGGTCAAAATATGCCAAAAGACTGCCATATACTGCCATCAGTTTAGCTATTTTACCTCTATAAGTGGGAAATGGAAGCGGCTTACGTAGTTTCAGCATATTTCAGCTGTAACGCCGCTCTTGCCACAACATCTCCGAACCCCATACAAATCCCACATAACAATCCACCCACGCCAAATCACCGACGATCCACACCAGCTTTTCTCACTCTGCTGATGTTGCGCCCTTTCCATGCTTCCGAGCAGCCAATGCCAGCCCATGCCCCAAACATACTTGGCAGCTTCAGGGTCGCTGTAGATCCTTGGCTTCGAAAAGGAGACCCCGACTTATCCCCAGTGCGTCGTGCACACCGAGGATGGGCTTCTTCGACTTGATTTAGATCGGCCGCTTCCGCCAGAACCCCCACACCCATCCGACCCATCCACAGTTTCTTGTTACAAAGAAGCTTCAAAGACCTTAAACACTTCTTGTTACAGGTGAAACGCTTCCCAAGGAAGCTTCATTTGATTTTAGCATGCACTTTCTTGCGCTTGATCCCTGCTCACCAAAGATTTCTCTGGCGCTCAAGCGTATGATTGCAACTTAGTGTCAAAAGGACACCCAGGAAACATACATTGAGAATCATTCAGATTTAGAATCGCGGATGCATGGGCCTTGTTCTGTGAGCCGCATCACATCCATTTCATTACTGCATTTGTTCTTAGTTTTGGAAAACATGAAGGAGGACAAATTTGCTCAGAGTGATTCTGATGCGTACCCAAGACCATGACATGTACCAGCTTTATTGAATGGACATGTAAGGTAAACCATTGACCCCCGAAGGCGCTGGTCGCATTCATCGCTTTATGTCATCCGTCCATGGCCCGAAGAGTCTCGTTGTTCGTCCATGGCTCGTGTGAGCTCGCAGGAACAGGTCATCCCGATTGTGGTCCCAAGCGATTAGCTTCAAGTCCAGTCCTTGGTGGCCGAAGGGCCGAAGCCGAAGGCGCAACGCCAGTGTCGGAGTTGCATGCCAGTGGCACCGGACCAGTCTCTTCCAGTCTTTGTCCAACAAAACGCCGTTTTGCTTCGAATGCAGGCACTGTCTCCGAAGGAAAAGCCCGTTTCGGTCTGTGGTCCATGAACCGTCCGCACCAAAGCCCATGACACAACAAGGCCATGGCGGCTATGGGCTATAGGAATGGTCGTTTGGTCATACGCTTGAAATATTCCATTCTATCTACTCCACAGGTTCAGTGCAGTTGTGAATGTTTCACAAATGTCTCTTCTTTTCAGGGAAGCGGAAACCTTTGTTTTGCGTAAGAGAGACTCCTCCAGTGATGAATGCTGAAACATAATGGTGAAAACATGTGAAAACCATATGTCTGTAGAGGAAGATGGTAGCCATTGGTGCTCCAGGGCTCATGGAACATCTCATGGCTGGGAGCATCTTTTATGAGCGTGGTCAGGGATCGAGCCCTGCCGATGGATGCGGTGTATTTTATCGCATGTTTTGCGATCACATAATATTTTTTGCTGTGTTTCACACTCCGGGAATGCTGTGCGGCCCGCAGCGCAGCTTGATGACTGACCTAGCAACAAATACCCCCAACATTCTTGGGCCCCTGGTGCCAGGGCTCAAACCCTCCGTTTCACGTGTTGGTGCCGAGACATCCAGTTCTTCCCGACCCGTCGACCCGGTGCATTTATTGGCGCGCTGAGGATCCGCTCTGCTCCAGTGCTGGGCCCAAGTGATCCCGAATGAAGTCGCGTTCCTCTGTGGGACTGTAGAGGCCTTAGGTTTTCGACTTGGAACGAACACCGTGTCACGTTCCAGGGTTCGTGCCACTTGCAACCGGCTGCGTGGGCTGTTTCAACATCTTTCAGAGTCATTTGGTTTGGAGATGACAATATGACAGAATCATACAGAATCATAGTCAATCACAGATTAAGTTGTGGAGTCACAATCTAATCGTGTGCACAAACAAGATATTGCCTACTATATATATATATATATATATATTCAAAAATTTGGCAGCAGAATGATCTGGAGCTTCAACCCCAGCCTGACTTGCAGGCTGGATGTAACTGTGGCCGTGGGAGCACGGAGAACATAGCATAGTTGTAATATACCCCAGTACCAAACAGCAAATGATGATAGTTATATAGCTAGTATAAGAAAGGCCTTCACCCCAAAAAAGGTTATATATACATGGTCAAACTATGTTAAACTACTCAGGTCATGGGTCACACGTAATGATACCAGTTTGGGCCCGACCTGCCAAAAGTTGTGACATCAACTGAAGTTCCATTGCAGGAACGTCATCTCAGCACTTGACGTTAAACATGCAGGGAGGTGTACTTTTGTGCCAGGTAGGTCGGGTATGTAGGTGGATAGGTCAGGCAGGTGAGGTCGGTAGGTGGGTAGGGCAGGTGAGTCAGGTAGTAGCTAGCTAGGTAGGTCAGGTAGATCGAATCCACTTTCCCGGAGGATTCTGGAAAGAAAATCTACTTTGCCAGAGATCCTTGACGAAGGACGCTGGAGAGGAAGTCTACTTTCTCAGAGGGCCTTGATGGAGGATGTTAGAGAGAGAGAGAGCTTGCTTTCCCTGAGATCCTTTAGGTTGGAGGCCATCGCTAGTAGGTTGCAGATCCTTCAAGAAGGACCTAGCAAGGAATTTGATGTAGATTTTCCGTGATGGAGGAGCCTAGAGAGGAAGTCTACTTTCCCAGACCTATGGAGGATCCGTGATCTTGCAGGCGCAGGTGTAGGTAGACCTTCTGCTTCTGGGGACGTCTACTTTCGCAGAGATCCTTCAGACTCCTTGGTGAAGGACTCTAGGGAGGAAGTCTACTTTCAGAAATCTTTCATGGAGGGAGGATGCTTTCCCCAAGGTCCTTGATGGAGGACTCTTGATGAAGGGTGTCAGAGAGGAAGTCTACTTTCCCAGAGATCCTGGGTGAAGGATATTACTAGAGAGCAAGTCTACTTAAGCAAAGATCCTTGATGAAGGATTCTAGCCACCTAGTCAGAAGCTTCACCTCTGGTTCCTTGATGGTTAAGCGGAGAGAAGCAGGATCACAGCATAAAGCCCACACTACTCCACCGCCCTCCCTGCACTGTTCTGACCAGCAACAATTCTCCCATGGTGTCTGCCCATCAGGTTCGTTCCTTAAACCAACTCTCAAGGAAACAAGATCAACAAGCGAGTGATATCCGTGATCTGCTGGCGAGTTCACTACCGTGAATCCTTATCAATTAAAGAATATATTAAATTAAAGGCTGTCTTGTCGCACATCTGATTTGTTGTGATGGCACACCAATCAACATCAATCGACCGCTTCTGTCTACTCAAAAAGCTCTATCTCAGACGAGTCATATTCAAGATCGTTCAATAAACATGTGTGTATCAGTGTCATGTAATTACCTACAGTAGCCCTTCACCCCCGCATCCCGGAACGACACTTCAATAGAAGCACCCAACATCAGCACCAAACCAGTTCCTTCACATGGGGGATCTGTGCCAAACCCCACGATTACAGGCTGTGCGGCTGCACCGAAAATCCCCACAAGGTGTGGCCCTTCTCCTTCAGGAGCTCCGCGAAGCGCACATAGAACTGAGCCCAAGCGGATCGACATTCCTCGGCGGCGCAACAAGGTTGGCACTTAGTTTGTGCAGTCATAGGGTCGAGTTATGCCAGTTCACGGGGTATAAATAAAAATGTGCCAAATAGTGGCAGGTCCATTGCCCCAGGCCTTGCCAAAAGAAGGACTTTGGCCCAGGAATGGCCCACCGCAAAGGCTTTGTGACGACTGTTAATCAGCCTGAAGACGGTCGACCTCATGTCCATTCATTTCCAATATTCAATGCACAGGCCAGAACGAATGGACGGTCTGTGTACCCCGTTTTATCCTGTTTCTCTACGGGACGGTCTGAAGAAAGAGCGAAGCCACTCCCCCGAGCATGGGCTGCTAATGAAGAATGGCGCCTGGGAGTTTTCAGCAAATATGAGGCTGGCAGTTGGAAACCTGTTCTAATCCTCTTCCAACCAGCGTTTTCTTTAAAGAAAACACATGAGAACATCCAGAATTGTAAGCCAAAACCAAATAATTAACCAGTCCTTCAATATCCTTGAACCCTTTGGGTTGCTGATTGTCGAGCACACACCACCAGAATTTGAAACAAATAAATCACCCGAGCATTCATTCACCTTCTGAAGCCCTCCCCTTTGTCACCTATTGCCTATAGGACAAATCAGTGAGCCACGTCAACTTGAGCGATACAATTAATTGACTGTAACCAGGGAACGCATCTTGAAGATTCTTGAAGTAAACTTAATTAAATTGTTGGTGGCAGCATTTGGCCGAACATGGTTTCGCCCCCGCTGCCGAAACCCTTGCGGGAAATTCCAATCATCTAAGGCGCTTGCTTCAGTTTGCCTCCCTGACACATGTTGCCACTATCCTGCGAGCATGCTGACACTTTTGCCTGTTTGACGTGCTTTTGCCACATGGTTTAGGGGGCCCTTTCTTTTAGTTAGAATGAGTTAGACCTCGAATTTTGCGTAAACGTGACACTTGGTTTGGACATGTTTGGACCCTTCAACGATGTGAAAAAGGTCGGTTTTAAGACTGTTAAGACCATCAACCATTCGCCATGAACGGATCAGATCCAGTCCGTCGGTGCCATCCAGTTCGTCGGTCCCTCGGTCATGCCGAAGGAAGGTCAAAGTCGGGACAACGTTTCTCCAAAACCTCAGATGTTTTTTCATTTCCAGGGGTGTCCATGTCATGTTCAATTTTTCGAGATTTTTTTTTTTCTCTCTCTATGCGCCGTGTTCTTTTACACACATGTTTAGTAGTATTTCAGTGACAACAGCTGCGTGAAATGTGCGTCAATATCTCTAAAACACCCGTTCTCATAGATCCTCGTGAATGTCCTGCCAACCCTGGTTCCTAATATTTCCTAATTATATAGTGTCTGCCTGGGATTCACGTGGGTTGTCACCCTGCTTCCGTCAACACGTGGGTTGTCCGGTCCTTCATCCACTTGGGCGGACTCCAAGGACTGGCGAAGAGCCGCAGCGGACTGGACTGCCGCGTGGACTGGAAAGCCCGCCTGGTTCTAGCCGCAGGAAAGCACGACGTGTTGGAAAACACGACGCGGGTCTTTTCACATCGTCGCCATCCAAACGTGAGAAGCAAGGCTTTTTCCAAAAGGCGTCGCCGTCGAACGGACTCCCCACAGGTCTGAGGATCAAACGATCCAGTTGGACACATGTCCAGATCACTTGGAGGATGTCATAGTGCCCCAGCCCCTGTCCAAATCACCGGAGGGCCTGGAGCTACTTCTGAAGCAACTCTTGTCAAAGTCTTGGGTGGTGCTGCGAGTGTTGATGTCGAGTTTCTACCCGCTGATGTTTACCCTCAATGGACCTGGTGTCCTCTGGATTGTTCCCCATTATTTCCACATGCTTCCTCCCCCTATTTACACAATTTTCTACAGGTTTCCAAAATCCCGTGTAGTGTGCATCGCTTGAAAACTTGACCACCCTCTATGGAAAAATAAAATTAAAAAGAGGTCCAACCGCCCATTTCACATTAATACATAAATCCTCAAAAACGGTTGTGTCTATGTTCCCTTCCCGCGCAGATGCCTCACCACTGGCAAAATGGCCTCGTCCTCAGCCGAGCAGTGACTTCCATGTGGAATCCATCACTCGCATAAGTGGATCCAGGTAGCACCAGGTAGGGAAGTAGGTGTATACATCTTGCCACATCTTGCCACAACCACCCATGCTGGCTGTCTTCAAATCGATCACAGACCTATCTATCATCGCGTATCATCGCTATACTATCTATCGTGGAACAGGCAAGTGCATGTCAGGATATGCTTGATGATATAACATACTGTAGTATAATTGATGACAATGTAGAAAAGAACTTGGCTGTACCATGCTGAGACCCAGGGTTGGCCATGGTTGACCCTCTCTTCTCAGAATCCCTCTAGACTTGCTAGTTGAGCAGTGAGGTTTTCTCTTTTCCAGTTTACCTCATCCGAATCTATGCAACGGCCATCAAGCTGGGGCTTAATTAGATCACAAATTCATCCCCAGCTTGCCAGGGGTCAACATACCGTTACTTGCTTTCAACAAAAAACATGTATCACTTCTATCGTTTCTCTCCAAAAGAGCTGGGCGGTGAGGTCCAACTCACCGCACTGCTGCTGGCGACTGCACAGCCAGCAGAGTTAGTCAACCCAAACAACTTGATCTTGAAAAGATTTAATCATGGTCGAACCACGAACACCGGCAACTGCCACCTGCTCTCTCTGACACTCGAGGTCTCTCGCACGCTCGGCTCGCACACGCCCAAACGTAAGGCGAGAGGCGTAGCGATCAACGGACAGCTTGGACAAATCTTCGTCTTCACAGCAGCTCCAGTTGCCTGGGTGCTCTGTCGCCGGGCACTGGATCTGCCCGCTCCGTCGCAAAAGCGCTTCGTTCACCCTGGTCCGTGCCGTGTCCACATGACCTTCTCCGATGGTGTTGGGACGAGATAAAGTGTCTGTCAGGACCCGTCTCAGAGTCTCAAAAGCGTGATTTGGATCCATAGGGCTGCTTAACATTGCTGCTTCATAGAGCTTCACTGTGCCTGACCTGTACATGGAACGAACCTCGTCATACCTCGAGACGGAACGAGGGAATCCACCGAAAACGACGAGGTTCCATCACATTCCACTGGAGGTTCCATGCATCAAACACCTTCGCATGGCCCATGGCGTCGCATGGCGTCGCAACCGATTTCGAAGCAAAGCCCAACGACACACAACACGTGCACATGAGCTGCAGGACTAAAATGGTATCTGCCTAATAGCTGACGTGCAGCTGTCGCAAATGGCAGCTAACGCATGCAGTTTTTGGATGTCTTTGGCATGAAAGGGCTTACGCAACACTTACGCCAACGAATTCTTGCACCAAACCACGGCTGAAGCTTACATCTTATTTTCTGTAATTGTGACATGTTTGGGCTTGCTTATGCAACTCCTATCTCCCACATCAAGCTTCGTAACCTTACACGCCAAGGTGGTGCTTGCGTGAACCATTCATATAATACGACAAGCCCACCACTAATCACACAAACAGGGAGGTTTTGAGAGTGGCTGACATCAACACCGGCGACTGCACCCTGCTTGACAATAGTTTGTAAACTCCTTTGGAGGAAAGTCATCAATATAAAGTGTCAATGCTTGTCTGACATTTTCACGTTCTGTGCAAATGGACGTGGCAAAGCATAATAAGAATGAGATGGACTGTGCTCAACAGGAGGTGGCACGGTGACACAGCTGATGAGAGAGAGAGAGAGGGAGAGCTATAGAGAGCTCAGTAGGATTTATTTCTGAAGAAAACGAATTGGCATGATTTGGGGGATCCGTATGTTCAGCTGTCCAGAGATGATCTGCTCAGCACTGGCCAGAGTTTTGCCAAGAAACCATCCGAGAAGTCGCACGAATTCCTCTGTGGCAAAGGAAGGCGAGAAATCGCGACCGGCACCGAAAAGCAATGGGTCCCTGAGTTTTCAAACATTTTCAGACATTGAGCCATATTCATTGGTGATATTTTTTGGACCAATGGAATGGATCCTTGATGATCCTTGTTTGGGGATCAAGGATTGGACACCGTGAAGCTGAAATGACAGACTCCATTTAGTTGAGAGTCGCCATAACAAAATCAGTTGAGTTTCTGAACCCTTCATGCCGGATGAATAAACACATGGTCAGCAAACAATCTATAAAGTGCACTCTTTGATTCTACTGCCGCTGGTGTAAGATACAGTAAGTATACCGCAGTAGCGATTATGGAGCTGGACGGATCGATCGTCTCACCTCGGTCCGTTCCGAAACAAAGCCGTTCGATGAGTCCGATCTCCCAAACTGGAGTCAATCCCGCCCAATCATCCATCCAGAAAGGCATCCATCTCCCTAATCATTGCAACTTGCATTTTTGTTGACTAGTATCACCCCGTGGGGATGGTTGATGGATGGTTTCTGGATCACCAGATCTCCAGACCAACGATTTCGACCAAACACTGCGCGCAGTTTAGGGTCAAGAAGCATATGCAGTCTGCCCATGTTGAAGCCCAGTCCAGTCTCAGGGTGGAAATAGGCATCCACAATCCTCACCGAGTTTCTCCGTGGTGCCCGGTTTCTCCGCTGTTGTCGGCAATGGCTGGGATGAACATCTTCACTTGAGAGGCTGAGAAGTAAAGCACCACTTCGGGCAACAACTTCATTCAGTTGCAATCACGGTTTGGTGCAGGTATCTCCTGAATTCTTGCAGTCAGGCAAAGATTCGAAGATATTCTATTCACCTGCTCTCTGGAGTACCAACGAAACATGTTGGTACTATATATATATATATAACTATATATTGTATATAAATATATATATATATATACGTGATACGTGGCAATCCCTTCTCAACAAACTCACCTAATGTGAGAATTCATGGTCAGCTCCAAAATGCATGACTTGGCCAAGGCCAATTGTGAAACACCATCATTGCAATCTGTATGAGGAACCAAACGAACAACGTTTGCCCTAGGCAGCCCAGGCATCTGTGCAAACCTCACAATTAGCCACGGTCTCCAGACCTACCAGTTGACATCATATATTACAAACCCCAACCAAGGCAGAACACCAAACCTTCAGCCTTGACCCATCAACCCTCATCAACTCACCACCCGGCCACAGGCTGAGAGAAGCAACCCAAACCCCGGACTGGGGTCTGAGAGAAGCATGGGGTCTGGTGTTTCAGGATCTGACTTTGGACGTTCTGAACCTCCAAACCCATCCAACTTCGGAGTTCTCTGAGTTTTCCGCTGTTTGTTCTTTGTTCTCCGGAGATTCGAGGCAAATAGGAAGCGCTTTTGCAAATCGACCCCTCAAAATACCCGAAACCAGTGATTCGCCGGTGGCCGCGATGGTGGCACGCTACAACTTTGGGAACTGGCATCCTCACGGAAGGTCAAACATTGATCGCTGAATCAGGCTGAGCTGGTCTCATCCAAGATTCCGCTCCTGGCTCGCCGACCCCATGTGTAGCAGCGTCTGGCAGGAGGATTCCTGGCGCACCCCCACTTCTCCGACGTGGGCGGCGGAACCGTGGGGTGGTCGACCGAAGGATGGATCCTGAAGAGCAAATCAACACCATGGCTCTTATCACAAATCTACACCGTCACATTAAATATGTTTCTTCTGGAAACCACCATGCAACACATCACCTATACCCAAAACCTGCTATAGAAATCACATGAAATCACTGATAGTGATGGTTTTCTACTATAGAATCCCTATCAGACCTCGGAACTCTGCCTTTTCAGACTGCTGAACCATCTTTTTGCCCGAAGCGACCCGGCCACCAAATGCCCATTCCACACCGCGCCGTGAAGGAGGTACCGAAGCCCATGAACTCTTGGAACGTCACAGAGGGATCCAACACCAGCGTCACCTCCCCTGACAGCGACAGCTTCGCCCGAAGGCAACGAAGGGCTGCGACGGCACGAAGCCGCCAAGGGCTTAAGCATTGACCATGACCATGGAGTGGGTGCTTGGATGGAGAATCGTCAGGGGCTTCAGGGGTGTCGAATAACTCACGGGGATACTTTTTTGGGGGCGGCAGAGTGTAACCGTGGGAAAATGAGAAGTAGAGAGAGAGAGAGAACGACCAAAAAGAATCTTATACAGTAGATCGCAATTTACATGATATGACATGATGATTATTAATGAGACTATGTCACGATATGTGACAATAACATATATATATATACACGAGACAAACCTTTAGTTTGAGGGTGTTGCCTTTTCGGATGCACACCCACATGCCAGGGGGTCCATGCAAAGTGGATTGAAGGCCTTTTGATTGGTTTCACACCACTTGGAGATCCCCAGGCTTACACACCATAAGAACTGTAAGCAAATCACAACAAAACAATCCCTCAAAGTCATCAATGTGTATAGAAGGCCTACGAGGCCTACAAGGCCTACAAGTAACATCACTTCGAACATGTCAGGGTCCACGAAGCTACCCCCTTCGGCTGTCTGCAGAATTCTGCAGTCTTTAGGCCTAGGATGGCCTAGGCTGAGAAGACAACATGACAGGCTTGCAGGGGGATCGACACCCTACACACGCTATGTATAAATATATATATATATATCATAACGTCTGGATATAGATATATCTATATATATATACACGCAAAGGGTGATGGAGACGTGGACGTCCTTCACTCCGGGGTTTCAATGTGAAATGCAAAACCCTTCCTCAGGGGGGTGTCAAGATGTGTCAAGGCATCATTTCATCATCCGGGTGTCTGGCTGGATTCCTTGGAATCTCGATTTGAGGAGTGCGATCTGACCATGAGCAGCTTTGGTTCCCACGAGCTCCGCTGGGGAACCAAAGCTGGGTGCGATCCCAGCGAACAGCCGCTCTGCCCAAGAAGTCCATCTGTCTTGTGCTGCGAAGCTCCATTTGTCACCCAATATACCCGCCATGGGTCACACATCATTCCTCCGGAATGATCCGACCTGCAAGGGATTTGGATCAACCTGCGAGGGAAGGCTGTCATATGGCACAGGCGAAAGGACAAAGCGCTGTCGTTTCAGTTTGTCTTCAAACCTTCGCTTGGGCCCCATCGTCCACTGATTGCCCAATAGCTTCATCAAGATAGTTCTTGCCCTTCCTCCGGTGTGACACCTTCCCCGCTGCTGATGTGCACATGCGACATGCTAACGGTGGGATCTTGGCCTCTTAAAACAGCTTCTTCCTGGGCCCCCACCGCCTTTGGCATGCGGCATGCGTTTGGATGCCCGAAAAGCCACCCCTTCGGGTGGTGAACACAGTGCCTCAAAACGAACCTTTCTCCGAATGAGCAGCACAACATGGAACAGTGGCCCGGGGGGGTCTGGCATTTGCTCCACCCTTGGGCTTGCATGACCATCAGGCGCAGTTTGCACGTGCAAACTCAGTATCCAAAAAGACTAAAGACAATGTCAAATCATCGGTTGAACATGTTTGGTCCAACTACATGGGCCGCGGATTCCTGGAATGTGACATTTCTTCAGCCTCAGATACGGAACCAAAGCTTCGCACCCTGCTCCTCCACCATATCCTCGCAAGCTCTCACAAAGTGTGGCTCCCCCTTCACGGCACGGAGAACCCACTCAGGGGCCAAGGTGCGCTCCCTGGGCCGAGCCAAGGCGGGACGCGGGACGCGAGTAGTAAGGCCAGGAGCACCTAGTAGCTCATTGTTACTTAGTAGTAAGGCCAGGAACCCCTAGTAGCTCCTTGTTACTAGTAGTAAGGCCAGGAACCCCGTTCGTAGCTTCTTGTTACTAGTAGCGATGCCAGGAGCCCCGATCGTAGCGTCCTTAAGCAACACAGGGCTCCATGGGTCCTCTTCTTGATTGGGAGCCGGAGCAGTTGTTGGAAGGTGTTGACTGGGAAGGACGGTTTTAGGGACAAATGGATATGTCGTGGATTCCAACAACTCCGATTCAGTTGACATGTTAACATTACATCCACTTCAGCGCTGTCAAAGTCCGATCAAATTGGTGACACTCTTTTTGAGGCGGAGGTCACTTGACACAACAATGAAATGACAGTCCATAACTAAACAGCAATGTAAATACTACATAATTCATAAATGTCAGTCCCTCATGTCAACTGTCAACACAATGCTTTTTTGAGAGAGACGTGCCAAGCAAGATCAAACAAGTATTCTTTCCAGCCGACATTCGGGTTCTACATGGTTCTACATGAGGGCACCCTCCCATCTTCACTACGCCTCCCTCACGGAGAGAAAAAACACCGGGGAAGGCAACTGTCTGGAAATACCCGATGAGTGACGCAAAACAAATGAGCAAGAGAACACATAATGCTTTCTTCTTTAAAACAAAAAGAAAGCAAATCCGCTCTTCCTTTAAAAACAGAAAAAAACACATACACCCCTGGAGAAGCCCACGTGAAGAAGACACCTGACACGATGACAAGGGACTCAAAGCGAGCGCTCTTTTTTGTGGTTGGGGACTTCATGATAGGTCAATCTTCCAGTCCCATCCAGCTCATCCGTCTGGGATCGCAGCGTGGGACTATCGATCCCTCTTACCAACCACGCGGCTGGCACTCGGCACTCACAAACCACGCAGACCGCCGGTGCGCCCAAAGTCAAGCCGTGTGCAAATAGCTCTTAAACCACAGGACAGGTCGGTGAGAATGCCCCAAACTGGGTGAGAACGGATGAGAACGCCAGACTCGACTTTGGTTGAGGAGTGATGATGATTGGCTGATGAATCAATATTCACACACATGTGCACACACACACACATGATCCCACCGAGACCTCGACCTAGATGCTTCAATTCAACAGCTCCGTCTGCAGGGGTTTCTATTTTAAGTCAACAGATTGATTCAGGCCCCATCTAACTCTCACGCGGACTCCCCCTGTCCATGTCAGCCTCTGTCTAACGTGTCGAGAGTCGCCAAGTCTGCCGCAGTGCAGCCATGACCTGACCCGGGTCAGCGATGGTTGTTGCACTGTTGAACCGCGGATCAAGGGTTACCTGCGCTGAAATTGGGGTGATCTCAACCCAAAAGGTATCCCCAATCTCGCCAAACACCCGCCATGCGGAAAATCTAATCCATTGGACCGTTGGAGCCACCGTTGGACGCTTCTGCAGTGTTTTGTTTCAAACATAGCAGCATGCTGTCATGTCGTGTACAATTGAGTCACCTCCTTCGAATGCTCACGGACCCAACCAATAAACTCGGCGAAAATAGCAAAAGCACCTCCTTGCTTACTCATTCGAGGTATGTGTCCAGTTTCAGTGACCTATTGCCTGATGGTGTTCTCCGCCAGTTTGTCTCACAAGGTCAAACAGGGGTGCGTGATGCTGGCATCGTTCCTCATTCAGTTCCTTTACTGTATACTGGTGCTGTCCATAAATCATATGCAAATGCATGCTACTTGGAAATTCAGCCGGAGATCTTAAATGCATGGTAATCAAATAGTTGCTGGAACCTCAACCATCGATTTCACTTGCATTTCGGGATATGGCATGAAATCCACCGTCCCTACCGTCCCCTACCGCACGAATTTCCACCAGGTGGCTATTCGTCAGTTCCAAGCGCGCGCCCGCCGCAACTAGCATCGCTGTGGCCACGTAGGACTGGCTGCAAATACTTAGCATCAAAGGCGTTGCTTTCGAGTGGTGGTAGGCATAGGTACCTGCCGAGTTGACATTTGGAGACTGACCGAACGACCGATCGACCGTGTTCGACCCAAAATCGGACTCCCTAACTGACGGAGCGAAGATCCATCGAAGACTCTTACCAAAAGACCCCCCAAGGATCCCCAAACCAGCAAAATGAGATACGGGTGAGATACGGTGATCCCATGTGATCCTGCAATTGTGGGATCTACTCGGGAAGATCTGCAAAGGCTCTCGCGGTTCTTGAGTGAAGGAACATGACAAAATACGGCATGCGGCATGCCCGGTTGCATACACACTTGCAACTGGTCGGTATAAAGATCTTCTCAAATAGCAACATGATCCAATAAATGTTTGTCTCAGGAGATTTGCTTGTCTGAGTAGATGTTGATTGTTACTCCTTCCTCCAAAAGGGGATTGCACTTTGCCACTGTTTCCTGAGGCGTTTCAATCAGCTGCATGCCTGCTTGAAGGACCGAGACAAAATCAAGCATTCGCAAAGGAATGAAGGATTCACCCATAAGGAAAAGACCAATCCCCCATAAGCGAGATTGAATGGATATGAGATAATTGAGGGAGAGCATAAAAGATATAAAATACTTCCCATTTGGACCCCTGGGAAGAAGGACAACTCACCCTTCAACCCAAGATTTCGACTCTGGAATCTCCACCAGCTGCATTTCGGCCCAGGCAGTATAGACCCAAAAACAGGCTGTGATCAAACCCCTTTGGGCCAGGGGGGGTCTCCCTAATCACTACATGCCGCGTTATGCTTCACTTCCTATGACCCACATGACTGGGAACCCTAAGTGAATGAAATTGACCTAACTCGCCTGTATAACCCTTCCTAACTCGCCTGCTTTTTTCTCCCTGCAGAGGACCACATGGACCCCAAAGGCTGGTTGTAGAGGAAAACCCTCTGCCAGGAGTCCACTGTCAGGCAGAGCGCCGTTGGTTTGCTGCGGTGGACAACCACGTCTTCTCTGATACCCCATGGATACCCGTTGGCGCACCATCCTGAACCAGAACCAGAAAGTGCAGCCCAGAAGCTCAACATCGATGACTTCCAATAGTGCCGGAGCTTCAGGAAGCGAAAAAAGAGGCCCAAAGGACTCAGACTGCTGAAGCTAAGCTGATGATCGATATCTGCTTTTGCCTCAGAGAAGGCACATTCTCAGATCCAAATCTGTTTTCACAATCTGTAACCATTCTCAAAGGATGAATCGGCGGATTCTATGATGGAAGTGCAAGTGGAGATATGACAAACACTCCAGGTATGGAATATCATGCCAACATTGACCCCAGGTCAATGACCCAAATTTGTCGACAAATATATGGCAGTCTCATGTCTGGGATACTACTGGCCTCGATCCCAAAAAGCAAAAATCGAGGCCACATGGTTGAGGGCGAACCGGGCGAAGCGGAAAGGAAGCACTTCCCCCCATGACAGCACTAGCCTAGCTGGTATCCCTCCCCTGAACACGTCCGGCCCAAAAGTATGCAGGAAAAAAAACACACATCCAAAAATCTAAGACATCCATCTGAGTCTATACTGTATCAAGACTGAGTGTGTTGGTTTACCATCAACACAAATCTGGTATCATGACCAAGACCCAAACCATCTGAGTTTGTAAATACCTGTCTACCCCCCCTGCGTCCTCTCACCCGAATTCCCCGACCGCTTGGACGGCTGCCGACCTCGATGAGGGTGGCGACGGCCTCCGGAGATGGTGCTCCATGGAGGATCGACACATGCAGGGCCAGGTTGAGGTTCAGCTCGCCGCAATCCAGAAGCTCCAGAATGCTTTCGGCCTGAGGCCAGGAAGGCGGCCCTTTCACGCGTTTTTGGCACGGCGGTCCCACCAATCCTCTGAAAGCGAGCGGCCCTTTACGCGGATGGAAGATAAACAAGACAACAAAGCGTGGGTCACGTGATTTATCTTGCTTGACCAAAGCAAAGCAGTGGTCCACAGGTGATCTTACATTAATTGGGAGTCAAAAAGAAAAGGATTGTGGGAACATGTGGGAACCTCCTCCAAAGGCCAGCGGCATAAAGTTTCCAAAGCCTAGGATCGTTTCCCAGTAGGTCTTAGCATTCTGGCCGTGCCCAACACACCAGTTACCAGTTGTCCCTCCATGTAGGTTGGGGTCCAATATCCATGCTGAAGCAGCAACCGAACTCAAAAGTCATGGCCAAACTGAGAGGCTTTTTGAAGCTTCTCCAACAGCTCGTCTGACTTTTGGCAGGCAGAGATTGGACATGATTGGACAGGGTCTTCAGCTCATAAGAGAATGACACAAGTGCTTAACCAATAAACAAACGATCCTTTGAATTGCAAAACACACAATGATTAAAACACAACAATGTCACATAATGTCAGTTTTCACTAAGAATGATGTAAGACTGGAAAAAGATCTTTCTTCACTCATCTAAGCTACATGTCCTCCTGCAGCGGCCATGTCGATGGGCGCCAGTCCCAAGATGTTGGGGCTCATGAGCGTGCGAGCTTGTTGATCCTCACCGTTGGAATCGGGTTTCCTTAGGACCGGAACATAAGGGGTAACCACTCCTGGACAGAAAGTTGCAGGCTTTGGTCAAAAACTAGGTCATAGAGTCATATATATATATATATATATTGTCTATCTATATACATATATATTAAATATATACCCTGACGGTCAACGCACATGTAAAAAATAGTGGTTGAACAACGACCATTTTTAGCAGACAACCACACTTGGCACAAGGCTTTTTGCATGCCCAGCGAAGGTGCTCAACTGCGATTGGACCAGGTCACGTCCATTGGCTCAGAACTGACATAGATCGATTAAAGATGATCAAAGAAAACATCACATGAGGGTGGCCATGTGTTCAAATTGAGCACTGTCATGGCCAAGAGACGATTTACTTTATTGTCTCCATAAGACCTTTCTTCCAACAAAGACCACGTTTGCCTGGCCATGGAAATCATGGTACGGCATCCTGTCCTGGAAGGTGGGGATTCTATGGTCTATGCAATGGATGTTCTTGCACCAAAAACACCTAGTGCACAAGCTAACTTCCCAACCCCTTCAGGTGGATCGATCATCCATTATGAAGAAGGCCCTAATTCAGAGCCACTTGGCACATGTTTTTTGTTTTGGGGTCGAGTTGGTGTGACCTGATCCCAATTTCCCTTCTTGGCATTTTCTGGCCAAGGAATCAATGATACGCAATTCGATGCGAAAGAAGCAATTCCTCGAGCCAGTGGTTTCCTAGGCGGGCCTGGTTGGGTCAGCTATGCTGCACTAGCTGGGACTAAGCCACGCAGTGTACCAAACTTGTGTTTCAGCCGTTACAGTGTTGGATGTCTGACACAACATTGGCTCACATGGGAGACTTCACTCAACCCACTGACTCGCCCGTGCCCTTTCGATCGCTTCTTGGTGATGGCCACTTCAGCAGAACGCATCGGCCTGCTCAAGGCAAGGCTGAGAGCACTCAAGCATGTAACTAGGAGGTTTCCATGGGGTGTGTCCGGTGTGTGCATGTACCTCGACCTATCGATGTCTATAGCCGACCCTCCCATCACTACTCCAGGAGTTCTATTCGGAGCTTCTGACACCGGAGTATGTCAAAGCTCGGAGGAAGCTGTTGAAACAACGGAAAAGGATTGCAGAGGGGGATAACTCTGCAACTTGACTTGGGTCTAATATGTAGTGCGCTGTTATGTGGACAGTGGACCTGGCAGTTTGTTACACCTGTTGTGGCCAAGGTACCAGATTTTGCGTTCATTTTGAGGTTTTCCAAAAAAACAACCGTGCACGAAAGCGAGGTTGGGACACAGTCAATGTACGATCTTTTTGTTCATGTGTGTGCGTCACATGTGAGTTTGAGTTGACCCTAGTCAAAACATCATGGATTCCCGGAGGTTCAGCAGGATGTGAACGCTTCATTTCTGATCAATTTCCTCGCGAGCTTTGCCCACAATGTACCGTCGAACTCTGGAATGCAGGACACTCTGGTTGAGTGAAGATATTCATGCCAAAAATCACACTAGTATCTAAAGTGCAGCACTATCAATGTACTATGATCATAGTAAGATCTGAAAGCTGATTTGTTTTGTTCAGGCGGCGCTCCTTTGGTGTTCTGACACGTTCAATTTGAATCCGGACTTGGACTCCCAAGCGAAGGTGGTTGCAACTTGGCACAGCTGGTGCAAGAATAGTGTGTTCAATTAGTTTTCTAGCTTCTTTGAATGTTTGATTGACTCTTGAAATTCTGAAGGCCTGGGCACAAACAGAATCTGGGGTTCAAAGGGCCTTCGTCGCCTACACTTTGGATAGGTTCCAGCGCAACCCGAATGCTCGGTTTTGTTCTTAACAATTGAAATGCACGCAATGTCTATTGCACATGGAAATTCTGCAGCTTTGGTGTGTTTTGATTGAACAAAATTCCACTAATATAATCAATCCCATGATGGTCCAAGGTCCAAGGACAACAAGATGAGTGAGATCAAGCACATAATCCGTGCCAAGCTGGAGATGGAGGGGAAACTGTCTTCATCTGGCAAGAAGATTGCTTCACGGGGAAGATCATCTTCGAATCAGGACTTCCTTGATTTTTCTTATTCATGATTTGAACGTGCTCATTTTAACCTCACAAACTCCTTTCACTACAATTGGATCCAGGACCTGGGCAAGGAGTCCATGACATCAACAGGCTTTGTTGACACGACAATTGTTTGCAAGACATTATTCCAATTATCCAGCATTTGTTTATTTATGAATGGTTCCTGTAAATTTGATGTGCTAGGTGGTGCTGGAAATCAGGTGGACAACATGCCGACACTGCAGATGGAAGACCCTCCTCAAGCTGTTCCAGAAATGGGTTCTGAAATGCCTGAGGAGGAGGAAGAGGAGGAGGATCCTGTGGTGGAGGTGGAAGAGTTTGGGGCTGCAGATTCAGAGGTGGAACTGCCTCCCGGTGAGTGGGAAGATTCCCAAGCACCTTTTGAGTCTGGCTTGGGCAATTTTGAAGATTCCGAAGCAGTGGTGGGTCAGGCCATGGCTGATGCTGAGATCCCAGATTCCAAAGCAGTGGAAGAGAAGGAAGAGGATGCCGAAG